CAAGTGTCCGATTTGAGTTCCAGACACTCGACGACCAAACACCGCTGAGCCTTTCGTGCGTAAGATGGCCACCGCCACGTGTTCGCATGCCGAATGGCGGCCACCCAGATACATCCGTAAACCACCTACTAGTCTGCGGTTAGAAAGTACTTTGCAGCTTAACGAGGGACACACTTAACTCTGGGGTGGTCTATTAGTTCGGTAGTTTCCATTCATGAAATACAGATGGAAACTACCGAACAATCATACGAATGCTACTTACAATTAAATACAAAGTAGAAACAACACACGAATTGCAGGATTCTCATAGTCTTTAAGGACAGCCACAGTACCATCCGCTACAACGTACTAAAACAATAAGCTGTAATAATAGAATGAGCTGTAATAATATAATAAACCGTACTAAAACAATAAGCTGTAATAATAGAATGAGCTGTAATATAATAAACCGTACTAAAACAATAAGCTGTAATACAATGAGCTGTAATAATATAATAAACCATACTAAAACAATAAGCTTTAATAATACAATGTTATGTAGTAATATAATAAACCGTATTAAAACAATGAGCTGTAATTATACAATAAAACATACTAAAACAATGCAAAAAGAAAAGTCCTGCGCTCACTCCCATCCAACGACCACAGTACACATCAGCTCCAACACATACAGTAAAAACCAAAGAAAAAAAACGTTACCTGCGGTCTCTCCTTAATCCCTATGTATATTTAAACAAATGGAGGTCATTTAGTTGCTCCAATGGCCATTGGAGGGAATGCCCTCCTGCCCACGTCAAGGCAGACCCCCCTAAAGTGGGTCCTACACGGACCCTTCAGCCTGCTTCCTTGAGCTTCTGGCAAAGATATCTCTAATGAGACCGAGAGGGGTATTTTTTATATACACCCCTATATACTTATTAACCCTTAATAGGGAACACATGGGATGGGTGGCAGCATTGTAACAAGGCTGTGTGATACAAAGTAAATACAAACACAAAAAGAAAAGTCCTGCGCTCACTCCCATCACTCCTGGGCGGCAGCAACGACCACAGTACACATCAGCTAATACATATAGTAAAAATGTATAAACATTTTTTTATGGAATATGTTTTGCTAGGATATGAGTCTGAAAAACGAATAGTCTTTTTCTTTTGGTGAATGCAAGTTGAACATAGTCCGCATTTGAGAAATCCAGGGGATTTTGATGATTGAAGGAAATGATCTGTTTTGTGATTTTTATTATTAGGTAAAAGACTGGGGGCGAGTTGGCGTTTTAGGTTATCTGCTTTTCTGTAAATAACCACAGGTTTATCTGGGATAACATTTCCTAAAATTTCATCTTTTTTGAGAATCGCCCAATGTTTATTCAGGATCTTTTCAATCCTTTTGGCATGTGTATTATATTTGGTGATAAATGCAAATTCAAAGTCATTCTTTTTCTTAGGATTCTTTTTGAAATTATCACATAGAAATTCAGAACGGTCTCTACCTTTAATTCTTACTACGTCCTGTTCCATGTTCTGTTTATGGTATCCCTTTTCCAGGTATCTATTTTTTATGATTGTTCTTCAAACATCTTCAAGAATGATCTCTAATCAAAAAAAATATATAATAATACAATAAGCTGTAATAATACATTGAGCTGTAATAATACAATGGGTTGTAACGATAGAATAGACTGTAATAATACAATGCGCTATAATAATAGAATGAGCTGTAATGATAGAATGAGCTGTAATAAGACAATGAGCTGTAATAACACAATGAGCTGTAATAATACAATAAGCTGTAATAATACATTGAGCTGTAATAATACAATGGGCTGTAACGATAGAATAGACTGTAATAATACAATGGGCTGTAATAATAAAATGCGCTATAATAATAGAATGAGCTGTAATGATAGAATGAGCTGTAATAATACAATGAGCTGTAATAACACAATGGGCTGTAGTAATACAATGAGCTGTAATAATACAATAAGCTGTAGTAATACAATGAGCTGTAATAATGTAATAATACAATAGGCTGTAATATAACAATGGTCTGTAATAATAAAATGTGCTATAATAATAGAATGAGCTATAATAACAGAATGAGCTGTAATGATAGAATGAGCTGTAATAACACAATGGGCTGTAGTAATACAATGAGCTGTAATAACACAATGGGCTGTAATAACACAATGAGCTGTAATAACACAATGGGCTGTAATAATACAATGGGCTGTAATAATACAATGAGCTGTAATAATACAATGAGCTGTAGTAATACAATGAGCTGTAATAACACAATGGGCTGTAATAATACAATAAGCTGTAATAACACAATGAGCTGTAATAACACAATGGGCTGTAATAATACAATGAGCTGTAATAACACAATGAGCTGTAATAATACAATAGACTGTATGGTTATGGTTCATGAAGTGACTCTACTAATATTAAGATCTAATAACATTTGAAGTAGAATGAAATGAATGTACCCATGGAATTATTCTGTGTTTTGTCTTATACGGAGCAATAAACTATAATTGACTGACATATTATATTATGTAACAGGTTTTGTTTTGTTGAGAAGATGTGGGGCAGAGGGTGACATGGATCGGCCAGGTGTTACACAATGTATTATATAAGCAAAGGTGGTGGAGTCCGGTGGCCCTATCATCAAAGATAGAATTAACCCATTCAATGCCTGTTTATTTACTTTAAAATAATAACATCTATTTGAAACATAGGAGGCCTAGCTAACAGAAAATCTAACAAAACTGATTACAAGCAATGGTAATTATAGGGGAGATATAAACAGAGTATCAGAGGGTTTAGGGAGATGGGGAGAGAGACACACAGGGTTTAGGGAGATGGGGAGAGAGACACACGGGGTTTAGTGAGATGGGGAGAGAGACATACGGGGTTTAGGGAGATGGGGAGAGAGGCACATGGGGTTTAGGGAGATGGGGAGAGAGACATACAGGGTTTAGGGAGATGGGGAGAGAGACACACGGGGTTTAGGGAGATGGGGAGAGAGAGACACACAGGGTTTAGGGAGATGGGGAGAGAGACACATGGGGTTTAGCGAGATGGGGAGAGAGACACACGGGGTTTAGAGAGATGGGGAGAGAGACACACAGGGTTTAGGGAGATGGGGAGAGAGACACAATGAGCTGTAATAATATAATAAACGTACTAAAACAATAAGCTTTAATAATACAATGATATGTAGTAATATAATAAACCGTATTAAAACAATGAGCTGTAATTATACAATAAAACATACTAAAACAATGCAAAAAGAAAAGTCCTGCGCTCCCTCCCATCACTTCTGGGCGGCAGCAACGACCACAGTACACATCAGCTCCAATATATACAGTAAAAACCAAAGAAAAAAAACGTTACCTGCGGTCTCTCCTTAATCCCTATGTATATTTAAACAAATGGAGGTCATTTAGTTGCTCCAATGGCCATTGGAGGGAATGCCCTCCTGCCCACATCAAGGCAGACCCCCCTAAAGCGGAGGAGAGAGACCCACGGGGTTTAGGGAGATGGGGAGAGAGACACACGGGGTTTAGGGAGATGGGGAGAGAGACACATGGGGTTTAGGGAGATGGGGAGAGAGACACACAGGGTTTAGGGAGATGGGGAGAGAGACACATGGGGTGAGACACACACGGGGTTTAGGGAGATGGGGAGAGAGACACATGGGGTTTAGGGAGATGGGGAGAGAGACACACAGGGTTTAGGGAGATGGGGAGAGAGACACATGGGGTTTAGCGAGATGGGGAGAGAGACACACAGGGTTTAGGGAGATGGGGAGAGAGACACCTGGGGTTTAGGGAGATGGGGATAGAGACACACGGGGTTTAGCGAGATGGGGAGAGAGACACACACAGGGTTTAGGGAGATGGGGATAGAGAGTGACAATAAGTTTATGAGGCGGTTGAAGGAAGTTCTCAAATAGGAGTATAGTCAGGGCCAGATTAACAGCCGAGTGGGCCTGGTGCTGACAATTATGACGGGCCTAATTAAAGAATCATATCGACCAAAAACACTAAAACACTCCCAAGCGTCATGTAGCTGATGGAGATGGTGCTGGAGAGAAAGAAAACAGCAACTATAAGAAAACACATACCCTAGGCTAATCTCTCTCTAATTTATGTTTTCATCTTTCAAGTAAATCCATAACCCCTAACAGCAGTGTCCAGTCAAGCAGGAAGTCAATGGGCATGGTAAAAGGGTGTGCCACTGACACAAATCACGTAACCTGCCAAAAGGGGCGAACATGCCCAAAAAGAGGACATGTCTGCTCAAAGAATTAGAAGGCCAGCCTGGCATGAATGCATGTCAGGCTGCCTGCCAATCATGCAGCTGGCCAACTAAGGGCATACTATGCAGACAGCACCCTGAGCTTGGCATAAATGCATCTAATGATGCGCTCGCTCAACGCTTTCTAAGGACTGTCCCCTAGCACTCTCTGGTCCACTTGTCTCCTTACCTTCTTACTAGCAGGCAGACGCTCCTGGTATATAGCCTGGGGCAGAGAAAAGCTGTATGTAGTGAGTGTAGAAGAAAGGGAACATGCCACAGTGTTAGAGAGACCAAAGTCAGCATTACCTTAAAGGATCACTATAAGGTCAGGAACACAAACATGAATTCCTGTCCCTATAGTGGCCCCCCCCCCCCCGGGCCCCTCATGCCTCCATAAATATAGTAAAAATCTTACTGTATTCAAGCCTGAAGCTGTAACTCTGCATGCTGTTAGACTCAGAAAAACAAGCAGTCTGCTGACATCATTAAAAGTGGTGGCCTGATCCAATCACAGTTCTTCCCCATAGGATTGGCTGAGACTGACAAAACGGCAAATCAGGGACAGAGTCAGCATGATTCAAACACAGCCCTGGCCAATCAGCATCTCCTTATAGAGATGAATTGAATTAATGAATCTCTATGAGGAAAGTTCAGTGTCTGCATGCAGAGGGAGGAGACACTGAATGTTTGGGTGCATTTTAGGCAGCCATGACCCAGGAAGGATCTCTAACAGCCATGTAAGGAGTGGCCAGTGAAGTTATCACTAGGCTGTAATGTAAAGACTGCATTTTCTCTGAAAAGACAGTGTTTACAGCAAAAAGCCTGAAGGTAATGATTCTACTAACCAGAACAAATTCAATAAGCTGTAGTTGTTCTTGTGACTATAGTGTCCCTTTAACTATATTCATTGTCAGCCAGTCCACACAAGTTTTGTTCCCATACATCCCTCTTAAGTTTCCATACTTAAGTAAGAGTATGTGAAAAGTAGTTAGGGTTGCCACCTTTCTTGGAAAAACATACTGGCCTTACTAATTTGCATAATTATGTATGTATGGGTGATATCACATGATGTAAATCACAAGGAGTGACATAAGAGAAAATGCTGTAAAATCACCAAAAAACGATTTAGTTTGATTATGCTGTATAGATGGATTCCTCCCAGTGCCCCCATGTGTTGATTACTCCAGGTCTCAGCATTCCTATGTATCAGTGTCTCAGTGCTCCATGTCTCCCAGTGTCCCCTAGTGTCGTGTCCCCAGGTCTCCCAGTGACCCAATGTATCACAGTGTCCCTATGTATCAGTGTCTCAATGCCCCATGTCTCCCTGTGTCCTCCAGTATTCCCATGTGTCTATGTCCCCATGTATGTGTCACTAGGAAGACGGGGAGACCTGGGGACACGGGGAGACCTTGGGACATAGAGACACCAGTGACAGTGGGAAACTAGTGGACACTGGCTCGGACACATGGGGCCACTGGGAAAATAGGGGACACTTGAAGACATGGGGACACAGACACTAGAGACACTGGCTGGGGCACATGGGGACATTGAGACATGTGGGCACTGGGAGACATGGGGACACTGAGACACCAGGGCCACAGACACTAGGGACACTAGCTTGGAGACATGGGGACATTGAGACACTTGAGGCACTGGGAGACATGGAGGCACTAGGATACATGGGGACAGTGAGACACTGGGAGACTAGGGGTCACTGGGAGACTAGGGGGCACTGAGACACCAGGGACACTGGCAGGGGACATGGGGACACTGGGAGACATGGGGACACTGTGTCCCCATGTGTCTGTGTCATAATGTCTCCCAATGTCCCTTAGTGTCTGCCATAATGTCTCCCAGTGTATGTCTCCTTGCAGCCTTCCCCCCATCCCTTACTTCCCTGAGCTGTAGGCTGTCTCTGCAGGGTGGGAGTTGCTGTCTGGACTCTCTGTAGCTGTACCCCTGCAGATCAGTGAGTATAGATAGACAGGGAGGGATTTGCTGGAACTTCCTATCCCTGCCTGTCTCCACACACAGTGACTCCTACTGGCCAGTGCTGGTATTGCAGAGTAATCTCTTGTTTATACTGAGAAAAATACCAGCATTTGTCTTGCCAATATCACTGCAATATTGGCACCAGCAAGGCAGCCTCAAATACTGCCAATAAAATAAAAGCCAGATGGAATCCCTATGAGTAGTGTGTGAAAAAAAATGTAAAAAAAAAATTTTTTTTTTTTTTTTTTTAAATCAATGGGCCTATTCCATGGGCCTGGGCCTGGAGCTGCAGCTCCATCAGCCCCTATGTTAATCCGGCCCTGGGCCGGGGTACCGGTTGACTCGGCCTAATGATAGGGAGTGGGGAGGGGCGGGGTTGGGAAGGCGGGGATGGTATATGAGGGGGGGTCTTGGTCATCTTTTGTGATTTGTTTTTCGATGTAATTTTCCCATGGTTCCCATGTCTTAGTGAATGTTTTAATTGAGCCTCTTATTTGGGCCGTCAATTTATCCATGAGGTGACACTCTTTAATTTTGTTGAGCACTGTAGACATTGGGGGTGGGGGGGGGGTCGTAACCATGTTTGGGCTAGGGCTTTCTAGCTGCCAATGCTACTTTGTTTAGCAATTGTTGTTCTGGTCTGGACCAACTGTCAAGGGGCTTGGCCAGCAGGAACGTCCATGGGTTTAGGTCTACCGGTCTATGTAGTATTTGTGATATTAGCATTTGGATGCCTTTCCAGAAGAGTTTAATTGTGGGGCGGGACCAGCACATGTGGGTGTATGTCCCTTTTTCTCCGCAGTTACGCCAGCAGAGATCTGTAGGTGTTTTTTCATGTGGTACAATTGGACCGGGGTAATGTACCATCTAAGTATTGTTTTATAAGCCTGTTCCTGCATCGAGACGCAGATGGAGGTTTTGGTGTCGGCTTCCCATATTTCCTGCCAGTCAATACCCTCTAAAGATTCCCCCAAGACTGTTTCCCATTTGTCGGTGTATTGCAGTTCTCCCCACTCCCGTGTGGTGGAACAGAGGTGGGAGTACAGTTGGGTGATCATGCCTCTTTGATATTGTTCCGCTAGGCAGATTTGCGCAAAGAAAGTCGGTTTGGTTTTGGCGGCGGTTTTCACCGTTGCTTAGGCCGCATAGTTTTTGAGTTGTAAATATCTAAAGAAGTCGGCTGGTGTCAAGGTTGTTCTGGACTGTAGGTCTGGGAAGGTGATTATCGTGTCGCCTGTATAAAGTTGGTATACCCTCTGGAGGCCGGCATGCTCTAAGCGTTTGAAGTATATACGGTATATCGGAGTAAGAGGGGATGTCGTAGAGGTTAATTCGTATTTAAGGGCATATTTGTCCCATAATTGAATTGAATTGGTAATGGCTGGGCATGCTGTTCTCGGGAGCACCCTGTGCTCTTTTGGGGTCCAGATGTAGAATTGTGGGAGATCGGATCTCATAAGCGACAATTCCAGATCCACCCACCTTCTAGTCTCCAGGGGGGTATGCCATAGGGCTATTTGTGCCATCTGGGCAGCTATGTAATAGAAGTGTAGATGGGGTAGAACTAGGCCACCTCTCGTTTTGTGGCGATAAAGTATGTTACGGGCTAGTCTATGAGAGGTTTATGGGGAGTGCACTGGATTTTTCCACGTTTACTTTGTATCCCGAGATCTCAACGTATGTTCTCAGAAGTGGGAGTAATGCCCGCATCGTGGGAATAGGTTCGGTTAAGGTCAGCATGATATCGTCTGCGTATCCAGATACTAGAAATTCTTGGTCCTCTATTTTAACCCCTTTAATTTGGGGTTGTTCCCTAATGGCTTGGAGGAGCGGTTCGAGAGTCAGCACAAAGAGTAGCAGGGATAGGGGGCATCCCTGTCGGGTGCCGTTGGTTATGTTGAATGAAGGGCAGTGTGACGAGACCAATCTCGCCACATTGCATTGGAGAAGCCTGGTTGCTCGCCTGCTGCCTTTGGACTATGGCCCCCTGTTAAAAGACATCTTTTTACCTGCAGAAAAGATTTATTCGTTCTTTTCTGCCTACTGGGAACCGACAGATTTGTTTGAATGTGTTATACCCCAGATAGGAATCCCATGGAGCCCATTAGGTATGGAAACTGACTGTAAAGACTTTGGCTCCATAGCAGATTAAACTTGTATTAGGTGTGGTCTGGCCATTAAACAGCAATGTGTGCTCCGGTTTGAGCTATCTGGGGATATGTGTTACATCTTTATGTAATAAATGTGACTTATGTATTTTAAAGTGTTTGTGTCTTTTAATATGTACTTAATGAGTCTTGTGTCTGTCCTGGGAGATCAGATTACTCTCCAGGATAGAAGACTGAGCTTAGTTTAGACCCAGAAAGCCATGTACTTCATTTAGTCACAAGGGACTTTTCTTTTTGAACCCCTGGTCTGATTCATGCCATTTTTTAATATGTTGTTCCCCTGAATGGATTGATTGTGAATATGTAATTTTATGTGAATGTGATGTATGGTTTTAAAGTTATGAAAGTTGGGTAGAAAGTATGTTTTAACTGTATGTGTAATTGAGTTTCCTCTCAGGATAAGGGGAGGGAATATGTGGGATGTAACTGTGATGTGATTGGTTGTTTTATACCTCCCTGTGGGCGGTCCTGTATTTGCAAGACTGTAATAAAAACCAGGCTGGGTGTGCCAGCACCTCAGACCACTGCTTGACCCTCAACACGGAGCCTTGTCTCGTTCTTGGGGGGATTCACTGTATGCTGTTAGAGACTGATTGCCAGGAGTGTAAGCTGCTTGGGTGCTTTTCCTGTTCAGCTGCTAGCAGCTATTCGTGAGGTTCCAGTTCGGGAGTTGGAGTGCTATTTTGTATCCAGTTAGGGAGTTTGGTGTTCTGCAGTAGCTGTGCCTGTATCTCTGGAAAGGGGGCCGATCGCCTAAACGTTTTTTACCCCTTGTGTGCAAAACGGTCCATAACAGGCAGGTCGTCCCGGTTATCTTTATTTGTGCTGAAACATTCGTGTATAATGCGTGTACCCGGGGCGGGGGGAGGGGGGGCATGTTCAGATGTTCTAAGAGTGCGAATATGAAGGGCCATTTTACGCGATCAAACGCTTTTTCTGCGTCAAGTGAAAGTGCTAAAGATGGTGTTTTTGCAGTTGCTAGCATCCATATTATGTCAATGTTTCGTCTTGTATTTTCTTTTTTAAATGTTTCATTTTTATTGAGATGAAAAGGTTCGGATTGACACTTTAACAGACATTTTACGTTTTACACTTATTACATAAACAGAGAATGTATAGTGATAACAGTTTTTAACGGCATTTAACAATACATCCTTGTGGCAGTGGTACAGCATTGCGTTTCAGTTGACATTCATGCCTTTGTTATAAGTGGTGAGAAATGCCCCGTTTTTGGTACATGGTAGGCTGGACATGCTCTCTGGCGTGTTATCATGCCTCTAAGTGGTGTCCCCCAGGCATCTGGGGAGTAACCCCCAGCCTGTATCCTCCGCTCTCCTTTGGGGTGGGCCGAATGGTTATCATCTTGTATTTTCGAATAACTGTTGTCCAGGTATGAAACCTACCTGGTCGGTGTGAACTAAATGGGTTTAGTCTCCCTGCTAGGATTTTGGCAAAGATTTTGCTATCATGGTTTATGAGGGAGATAGGTCGGTATGCTTCTGGTTGAGTGTGGTCTTTGCCTGGTTTTGGGAGTAGTATGATGTTGGCTGCGGTGTGTAGTTTTGGTAGGTTCAGTCGGGTGAGAAAGTCAGTTATTTTCTGATTCGCATCGGCATTCGTTGTGTTATCTTGTGGGGAATGGTTATATAATGCGGGTGTTTTGGAGTAGTTGTAGTGTTTGGGGATTTGGGTCGGTTTTATGGCGTTGCTCCGCTGTACAGAGGGTTTCTAGCAGTTGAGTGAGTTTGTGTTTTTTGT